CTCTAGCACTGAGCTTGAAGCCTGCTTGAGATTCTCTCTGTCTCTTTCTCTCTCTGCCCCGCTCCCCTGCTCGCTCACTCTGTTTAAAAAAAAAAAAAAAAAAAAAAAAAAGAATGAATCCCCACATCACAAAATGTCCAAATTCACATTAGGTACCCAAGAAATGGTAGCTGTAACTTTCACATAGTTCCGTGTACAAAAACAAACAGCAAACAAAAACCATGTGTGAAGTCCTAAATCAATAACCAATAGTGTTAAGAAAAGAGTACATTTCTTCTCCAGTTCCCGAGTGGAAACTACAGTCTTGTCTTTGTAATTAACCAAGATTCCTAGAATTTCCCCTTTCTAATTGTTTAATAAAGCAGCACAGAAGAACCCCATATTGGAACCGCAATCTTCACCTTGACAGAGCTGACATTTACATGGAATCCGTCCTTTCAATCTCTCACTGGAGACCATGATAAATGATTAAGCAGCAGGTGTTGCAGGCTTAATCTCACCCTCCAGGACAAATGAATTTCATGACTGTGACTCCAAACCTGAGGGGTTCCCTGTCAACCTTCAGAAAAAGAGCTCTGCTTCCTATACAAAGGCAAGGATGGGAAAGCCCAACGAAATCCAATTTGGGATGGTTTTCCAAATGAGGTACTTTCCAAAAGATAGGGTTGTTCAGTGTTACTCTCTTTTCCCCACTGGTTTCTAAAATCTCACTGTTTTAGGCTTTCTACATTCCTAATTATATTTGACAGTCAAGGATCTAAAAAGCAGTGGATAGACAAATTACTACCAAATGCTACTGGGAAATAGATTTAGAACGATGCTGAATATTTTCATTCTTGAAACGCTTGGCAACCATCAATGTTTCACACATGATATCAATTAGAAGACAGAATAAATGGCCTCACAGAACGCATGCTGGCAGGAAAAAGAAAAAAGGAGAAAAAGGGTAGGCCAAACTTAGTGGATGTGGCCTGGTGAGAGCCACCAAACTGAGTATATTTTTGCAACTTTAACACACATCGCAGGACATAACAGCAGCAGCTTCACAAATAATGAACACATACCCAAAAAGCTGGGAAAGGCTTAAACAAAACCCAAAGATATATTAATTACCATCAAGGCTCGTCAAGGGGAAACAGATTATTTCTACTTCTTTAAATGAACATAGAGCTATTCATTACCAAACATTTTTTTTTTTTAAGAGCATATTTCTGTTGCCAAAATTAACTGTGATGCAGTCAGTTTGAACAAATTCCACAGCTTGGGACACTTGTACTATCCATGAGGAAAAGATGGTAAATAACACTATTTACCTCTAGCAAATATCAATAAAATAGTGGAGTTGTCCCCCAGACAAGAAAGATGAAAAATAAGGGATGAGATGGGCCACCTGGGTGGCTCAGTCGGTTAAGCGTCCGACTCTTGATTTTGGCTCAAGTCATGATCTCACAATTCATGAGTTCCAGCCCCATGCTGGCAGTGGGGAGCCTGCTTGGGGTTCGTTCTCTCTCTCTCTCTCTCCCTCCCTCCCTCCCTCCCCTGCTCTTTCTCAAAATAAATAAATAACCTTTAAAAAAAGAAAAAGAAGGAAATGAAAATAAGTATTCTTTTTTGTTTTGTTTTGAGTGAGAGAGAGGGAGAGCAGGGGAGGGGCAGGGAGAGAAAGGAAGAGAGAGAGAATCCTAGGCAGGTGCCACATCCCCAGCCCAGAGCCCAATTCAGGGCTTGAACTCACAAACTATGAGATCGTGACATTAATCAAGGGTCAGACACTTAACCAACTGAGCCACCCAGGTGCCCCAGAAAATATTCTTTGTAATAAATGAAGTTAACGGATTGGGGCTGTTGTTTTAGGATTTATTCTCACAGAAAGGATTAAAAGAGGTTAGCGTGCCTTTGTTAGAAAGACATGTAGGGGGGTGCCTGGGTGGCGCAGTCGGTTAAGCGTCCGACTTCAGCCAGGTCACGATCTCGCGGTCCGTGAGTTCGAGCCCCGCGTCGGGCTCTGGGCTGATGGCTCAGAGCCTGGAGCCTGTTTCCGATTCTGTGTCTCCCTCTCTCTCTGCCCCTCCCCCATTCATGCTCTGTCTCTCTCTGTCCCAAAAATAAATAAACGTTGAAAAAAAAAATTAAAAAAAAAAAAAAAAAAAAAGAAAGACATGTAGGATTTCTTCTTTCATTTGCAACATGGCAGTTGAAGTGTTTTAAAAGCAAGTTTTTGATAAAAATATCATGTGGGATTTGGATTTCATAACATGAAAAGAAACAGAAGGGGAAGGGGTGAGACACAATGGAAAAGTGACGTGCCTTTAACCAAGCAGAGGAAAAAGTATTAAGGTATCAAAGTAAGACACAAGCCTCCTTAATTAAACTACCTAGACATGATGTCTCCATTCCTCCACAAGACGGTGGAATGTGAGAAGCAAAGAAGCTGCTGTAGGCTGAACATTCGTATCCCCTCCAAAATTCATATATTGAAATCGTAATTCTCAAGGCGATAGTTTTAGGAGCTAGGATCTTCGGGGGATGACTAGGTCAGGAGGGTAGAGCCTTCATGACTGGGATTGATGCCCATATAAAGAGACTCTGGAGAGCTATCCTTCCCTTTCAGCATGTGAGGTTATGGCAAGAAGAAAGCTATCCATCAAGATAGTGGTCCACGAACCAAGAAGCAGGCTCTTACCAGACAGTGAATCTGGATCTCAAACTTACCAGCCTCCAGACCATGAGAAATAAATGTGTGTTAATAAGCTACCCAGTTTAAGTTATTTGTGTTATGACAACCTGAATGGATTTACACAGCATATGGTACTACGGGTAGAAGTTTGGATCGGGGGAATAGATTTCAACCATCTCAAATTATCTCCTGTAAGTACAGAAAGAGGCAACAAGAGCTTCAGCACTGAAAGGACAGGATCCCATTTGCAGGAAGAAGTCAAGTCACTATCACACATGAGCTGTAGAGAAAAGATTAAACAAGAAACAAATGACTCTGAACCTCCTTGATGGCATGGACTATATCAAACTGTGTACCAACCTTTCAGGAGCAAGCTCAACATTTAAAGAGCACCCGTATGGGTAGACATTATACCAGGTATGTTTTGTGTGGTGTGTGTGTGTGTGTGTGTGTGTGTTGAGTAATCTTTTATCTTCATTTGAAGAAACAGAGGCTCAGAGGTTAAGTAAACTAACCAAAGGACACGTAACTAGTAACTGGTATATATACCAGGTACAGTCCCATGACTGCCCCAAAACGAAAATGCTTCCTACCACATCAGGCAACATTTTTCCTATCTCCAGTACTTCCTCAAGTTAATGATATCTTAGAGAAACGGAATGAGAAAACTAACGCCACACACTGAGCATTTCTTATGAGTTAATAAGCATCTATAGACAACAGAGCTGTTGAATGGGTGGAGAACACAATGGAATTACAGCCCCAGTCAGACAAAATTACCATTCGTTAGAGGGAAAAAGTTAATTTCGGAAATGAGCTGATTTCTGTTTGGAAAAAATAATGAAAAGGAAATACTCCCAAAATGGTAACAGTGATCACCATTCAGAGGTAAACGTATACAATTCTCTCTTCTCTCAAAGCTTCTACTGAAAACATATTTCAAAATAACGTTTAGAATTATTTATTATGAAAGTAATATAATTATTAAAGTGACACTTTGCAATTCCGGATGACTAACTGACACAGTAAAGAACAAAAGTCCTTGGTCATGTATAGTAGTCCCCTGCTGTAATATGAAACCCTTAACAACTCTGTCAACTACTGGGCATGTGGTCTAAAAGCATTGCCCTTAGCACGCATTGGTTTCTAAACAGTGACAGTGCTTGCTCTCTGCTAAAATAAGTGTTTATCCAAGAGAAAATTACTTTCAGGAGCGCCTGGGTGGCTCTGTTGGTTAACCGTCCGACTTCGGCTCAGGTCGTGATCTCACGGTTTGTGAGTTCGAGCCCCTGTCGGGCTCTGTGCTGACAGCTCAGAGCCTAGAGCCTGATTTAGATTCTGTCTCCTCTTCCCTCTGTCCCTGCTCACTTTGCACTCTCCCAAAAACAAATAAATGTAAAAACATTAAAAAAAGGAAAAAAGAAAGAAAATGAGTTTATTCTCATACCAAAATCCTGAGTGAACAACCTCCCTCCAAGGACTATTTTCCTCATTTATAAAATGATGTTATAACCCCTCTATTGCAGAATTAATGAGGAACATAAATGGAAAGTACTTTGCACAAGAACCTGGGCGTATAAACACTCAATACAGTCACTGCCTGTATTACTGAATCATTATATTCATTATCATATCAACCATAATTGCCATAAGCTAAGAGAATTCCACCTAGTCTCAGTCACTAAAAGACTACAATTGTGTAAGTATGTTCAATGTGCGAAAACTTTGGTTCGGTTGATAAATGATCACTGACATAATTACCGCATTTCTCCAAAACGGTTAAGGATTCCCTGCTGTGTTGCGATTGGGGGAGTGGTATAAAGTTCAGGAAACGATTTGGAGGCTCAAGTCTAACATCAATCCATCCTACCCAAACTGATCACCAGGAAAGAAACAATCCTTGGCCAGTCTTCGGGCCAACCATCGTTTTTGCTGGCTATAAAACTCCCGCTGGCTTATGCCAATCCCTTCTCCTCTGCTTCTTAAGCCTCTCTGATCACCAAACTAAGAAGCAAATAGACTCAAGAGCTCCAAGAGCCTAACTTTCCCTTCTATGTTACCAACGACGACAAGTAAGAACAGGGAACGGCATACAGTGGTTTTCTTTAGCCTCTGGAGCACGTCCACAGAACCCAACATTTCAAGACTCCCCTCCAGAAAGGATTTCTAACGTAGAAGGTCTTGCTTCCCTTCCCCAACAAGAATCCCTGGGAGTGACTATTCCAGCGCTTAGTTACTCGACTCTGAACTTGCAGCCTGGTAACTCGTACGCCTCGTAAAACATTTTCTGCAAAACTATCCAAAACAGTGTTGAAAAGCCTACCTCAGCTTGGCAGAGGGCATGAAGACCTTGTAGCACCAAGGCTGCTGGAGTGGCTTGGTCAGGTTTGGTGCACTCATTCAACACCTGGGAAATGGCTGCCAACATGTCTGCTCCATGCTGATAGGGCCTGTGAGAAACGATCGTTCAGAGACCAGATTAAAGTCGAAGAGCGCAGGCGCACTCCCAGGACATCTGCCTGAACAGAGAGCGTTCGTGCTTTTCTTTACGCTTGTGCCCACTGAACACTGACCCTCCGATACGAATGCATGTTTTCGTCAAAGATTCGCATCGTCGTCGTTACTGCTGTAACCGGAGACTCATTTCTGATACAGAAATGTTATCCAAAAAAGAGGACCCGTGCTAACAAATGTTACTCTTCCCTAAGCCGTACATCCTATTGTCTGAATTGACACAAACTCAAGTCTCCGGTAATGGTGGAAGGAACTGACTGACCTCATTGAGATTATCAGTAAAAGATAGAGCTATTTCCTGCCTGCCCCTTGCTCTGGTTATCAGCCACTGACTACAAAAGCAGGGATTGCGTCGGGGCGCCTGGGTGGCGCAGTCGGTTGAGCGTCCGACTTCAGCCAGGTCACGATCTCGCGGTCCGTGAGTTCGAGCCCTGCGTCGGGCTCTGGGCTGATGGCTCAGAGCCTGGACCCTGTTTCTGATTCTGTGTCTCCCTCTCTCTCTGCCCCTCCCCCGTTCATGCTCTGTCTCTCTCTGTCCCAAAAAAATAAATAAATGTTAAAAAAAATAAAAAATAAAAAAAAAAAAAAAGCAGGGATTGCGTATCAAAAGGTCATTTATGACAGTAGCGAAACTAAGGGGGTTACACCTATCACAATAATGATGCTGATGCTGAGGACGATGATAAAAATAATGATATGAATCGTAACTGGCCAAACACCTATCTCATGCCAGGCACTCTGCTGGATTCACGCACTCAGGCTCCTCCTCTCCTCTCCTCTATTCCACATGTCATGTGCTGTCCCCAAAAGGATTTTAACTCCCCAGAGAAATGCTCAGGCCCATCCTTGGCTTTCCCGGTCACCCCTGAATGACGTAATAGTTTTCTCTAACGAAATACCAACTGATAAAACTGCCCGGCTGGATTCTACGGTTCCATTGTCTGGCAAACAGAAATGATTTTCCAAAACTGGAAAGATCTGACAGATCTTGAGGTGGCAACTGAAAGGAACACTGAATATATTCAATAGACTCTGACCTGGGCTGATATTTAACTTTTACTGAACCTCAACTTTAAGTGTGTAAAATTAAAATGTTAGCTAATGGGGTGCCTGGGTGGCTCACTCGGTTAAGCATTCAACTCTTGATTTCGGCTCAGGTCATGATGTCATGGTTCATGAGTTCAAGTCCCACGTCGGGCTCCATACTGATGTTATAGAATCTGCTTGGGATTCTCTCTCTCTCTCTCTCTCTCTCTCTCTCTCTGCCCCTCCTAGCTTGCATTCTCTCTCTCAAAAAAAATAAAAATAAAATAAAAATGGTGGCTAATAATTCCTTCATCTCTAAAATTTTTTCCATGCCGGTACCTCAAGAGAATCCAAACTCTCAGGTCTTGGGTTATATGTGTGTGACTTGTAGAGTGAGGTTATGTTTGGGTGGCCAAGAGACTGAAGCTTAGAAAAGAAGCAGAATTGCTGAGGTTTAGATCCATGCTGATCCGAGATTTATTTGAAACTGGAATCATCCACGTTACTGCTTCAGGATTAATCCATAATCGACAAGAGCAGAGTCACTTTCCTAAGACCCTCACATCTTCCTATACTCTAGAGCATACATGGGGATTCAATAATAGGCCTCCCTTGTAATAATTCCTAGTAATTAATTCTATGAGATGAGTCACAAATAAGGCCTTCCCTATTAAAACTCTTTATAACAATTGGGCATAACATGGGGAAAATATAAGAACGAACAGTTTGACTTTACTCCACTGTTTAGGTTTTAGAAATTTGTTGTATACAAAAAAAAAAAAAAAGAAAAAGAAAAAAAAAGAAAACATAACATCACATTTTTATTATAATATTATTATCCAGAAAAGGATCTGAATTTCCTATAAATCAAGATACGAGGCTAGTACTGAGATAGACATGCTTGTTTCTTGAAGTCATTATCCAATATTATTAAGTTTTAGAATTAGAAAACTTGACCTGAAAATTAACTTATTCTTACTCAAATACCCTCTGCCTATCTTTCCTGGCTTCTCACTTGCGATAAAAGAATTAGGTGCAAAATAATACACCATGATATACATTCCCAAGAGTTAAGCACAGCTTACCTTTGCTTACATATGTCTCTTATCGATGCTGCTTTAGCGATGAGTTTCTCCCACTGGACTTCCTTGCCCACAGACAGAGAAGGCACGTCAGACATGGCCATGAAACGCTGCAGTTCAGGATATACACGATCCTAAGAAGGCAATTTCACAAAAAAGGTAATTTTCCAACTTGAGTTGAATAATCACTTTACACAGCATTTTTACCTCCAAATCTCACATTTGCATCGCTAATTACAATGCATTTCTTCTAATCAGCAGAGAACAATGCTTTTGTGATTGCTGGGGATTTTCTTAGAGACCCATGCACGCCTCATTTCATAAGACAAGAAAAAGGTGGCTGAATCTCACCCTAATTACAAAGGTTCTAATCGTTTATAATCACACTTCTATTACTTTTTCCACACAGATGGAAAAATCAATTTCAGAATTCAAGGAAAAAAGTTTATTTTCTATTTTCAATTTCTCTTTGAGAGCCAATCACAACTGACTGCCTTACAGATCAAAAGCATCCCGCTGAACCAAACTTTCTCAATGCAATCACAGACGTGCCTCCTTAACACGACTGTATCAAAGCTTTGTCACGCGTACTGAAAAACTCATTTGCTCCGGCGAAAGGAACATGTTTGATATGCAAGTGTTTTATCAGAGCTCACCTGCTTTTCCCACAAAGATGTCAACAAGCGCACAGTGACAGCTCTTAGGTGTGGAGTAGTTCCAAGAAGTTGGATCACTCGTAGAATTTGTCCTATGCACACCTAGAAAATATTGAAGAAATTATGGTTTCACAAATGTAAATGCAGATAATCCTGAGGTTACCACAATAACGTGAAAACCCCTTGTTATAAAATAAGGACTGAAATGGAAGCTAACTATAATATTACCCATCTTTCTGAGACGTGGGTCATAGTTTTAGGGAGGAGCTAGCTAGCAATCCTTGGGCATAAAAACCTAATCTCAGACAACAGCCAATGGGAAAACTTGGCTATGAAATGATTTCAAAGAATTCATTCTTTAATTTTTTTTTTTTTTAACGTTTACTCATCTTTGAGAGACAGAGAAAGACAGAGCATGAGCGGGGAAGGGGCAGAGAGAGGGAGACACAGAATCCGAAGCAGGCTCCAGGCTCCGAGTCATCAGCACAGAGCCCAACGTGGAGCTCGAACTCACCAACTGCGAGATCATGGCCTGAGCCGAAGTCGGGCGCTCCACTGACTGAGCCACCCAGGTGCCCCCAAAGAATTCATTCTTAAATACTATAATAAATACTTTGGGCCCAACAAGGAAAATAGTGGTCATGGCAAAATTAAGAGCTCAAAATTTCACGATACCAAACAAACTTCAATGTAGTATTCATGCCTCACTTTCTCTTTTTAAATTTATTATTTACTTTTGAGAAAGACAGAGAGAATGCAAGCAGGGGAGGGGCAGAGAGAGAGAGGGAGAATCCCAAGCAGGCTCCACGCTGTAAGCACAGAGGCCGACGTGGGGCTTGAAGTCACAAAACTGAGATCACGACCTGAACCAAAATCAAGAGTTGGATGCTTAACCGACTGAGCCACCCAGACGCCCCTCATGCCTCACTCTCTTTTTGCCCCCGAGTAAATTGGTTAAATACAAACCTTGTGAACACCAAGTGTAGGCAAAGTATACAAGATATCATTATATAATACAGGTTCCAGTGGTCTTCCCAATTTGAACATCAAAACTGGAATCAGATTTGGTACCTAAAATGAATTTAAAGAACATATTTGTTATGCCTTCTTTTTTTTTTTTAATTTTTTTTTTCAACGTTTATTTATTTTTGGGACAGAGAGAGACAGAGCATGAACGGGGGAGGGGCAGAGAGAGAGGGGGACACAGAATCGGAAACAGGCTCCAGGCTCTGAGCCATCAGCCCAGAGCCTGACGCGGGGCTCGAACTCACGGACCGCGAGATCGTGACCTGGCTGAAGTCGGACGCTTAACCGACTGAGCCACCCAGGCGCCCCTGTTATGCCTTCTAAAATAAATCAATCTCCAAAGCAATCATTATTGAGGTTTTCTTCAAAAGAATAATGGGAATATATATAAATTTCAAGACTTGACGTTAGCTAGCCATTTTTCATTAATGCAATTTCACAGTACCACTAATACTCTATTTCTTTTGTAATTAGCCACCAAATACCAATCAAAAATGTTTTTCTTAAACAACTATGACATTACCTCTCAGCAATACAAAAGTAGTTAAAATACATCCTGCCCCAAAGAAGTTTACAGTTCTAATGAGAAGCTGACACTTAGGATATGTACACGAAAAACAACTGTAGAGTGAAATATGTTATTCCAATATGAAATAAGTAAAATTAGTTGTACGGTAAGGGAGGGTTAATGGCAAAAACTTCCCTACAGGTCTCCATTTCAATCCCTACGATAAAATAAGAAGAACAATTCATTTGTGGATGAAAAGACGTGATAGTGTTAAGATGGTGATATTTTCCAAATAGGTCTGCAGATGCCACATAATCCCCATCAAAATCCTAGCTGACTTCTTTGCCAAAATTGAAAAGTGGATCCTAAAATTCATGGGGAAAAGCAAGGGATCCCAAATAGCCAAACAATCTTGAAAAAGAATCAAGTTTGAGGACTCAAACTTCACAATTTCAAAGCTTACTACAAAGCCACAGTAATCCAAAGAGTGTGGCACTGTTACAACAACAAGAAATATAGATCAATGAAACAGAACTCTGAGTCCAAGAATAAATCCTTACATTCACATCCAGTTGATTTTTGATAAATATTCCAAAAAACCTACAATGGAGAAAGAAGAGTTTCTTTGAAAAATGACACTGGATTTCAGCAACTGGATAGCCACATACAAAAGAGTGAATCTGGGTCCTTTCCTTACACAACACATAAAAATTAACTCCAAGTAAATTTCAGACCTAAGTGTCAGTGCTAACACTACCAAACTCTTGAAGAAAATATAGTAGTAAATCTTTGTGACCTTGGGTTAGGCAAAGCCTTTTTAAGATGGGACACCAAAAGTGAGTGCAACAAAAGAAAAAAAAATACATTCCACCACCTTAAAAATATCTGTCCTTCAAAGGGCACCACAGAGGGGGGAAAAAAAAATCACAGAATGGGGGAATTTTTGTTTTTTACAAATCATCCATCGAATAAGATATTTGTATCCAGAATATATAAAGAATTCTTCTAATTCTATAATAAAAGGACAAATAACCCAACTCTAAAAGAGCAAAGGATCCAAAGAAGATAAGCAAATGGCAAGAAAGAAAGACAGGGATACTCAACCATCATTAGCCAAGACATAACTGCAAATCAAAAGCAGGATGATATACACCTTAACATCCAATAGGATCTATAAAAAAAAGACAATATCAAATGTTGGCAAGGATGTGGAGAAATGTGGACCATCATGCACTGCTGGTAGGAATATCAAATGGTGAACCCCCTTCAGAAAACAGACTGGCAGTTTATCAAATGGTTAAACAGAATTACCAGATGATCTACAATTCTACTTCTAGGATCTATCTACCCAAGAGAAATGAAAACATTTCCACACAAAAAACCTGTACAGGAATGTTCAGAGCAACATAATTCACAACAGCCAAACAGTGGAAACAACCCAAGGGTCCGTAAACTGATGAATGGATAAATAAAATGTAGCATAGGGGCATCTGGATGGCGCTGGTTGAGCATCTGACTCTTGACTTCAGCTCAGGTCATGATCCCAGGGTCCCAGGAGCGAGCCCCATGTGAGGATCCGTGCTGAGCATGAAGCCTACTTAACATTCTCTTTCTCCCCCTCTGCCCCTCTTCCCTGCTTGTGCTCTATTAAAAAAAAAAAAATTGCAGTATAGCCCTACAATGGGAATAGTATTAAGCCCTAAAAAGGAAAAGGAACCAACAGGGATGAACTTTGAAAACATCACGTCAAGTGAAAGAAGCCAATCATAAGAGACATAGTAAATGATTCCATTTATATGACATATCTAGAACAGGCAAATCTATAGAGACAGAAAGTAATTGCATGAGATTGGAAAGTTGTAGAGGGAAATGGGGAGTGATTGCTAAGGGGTACAAGGTTTCTTTGGGGGATGATGAAACTGTTCTCAAAGTATTTGGAATTATGTTTGCACAACTCTGTGAATATACTAAAAATCACTGAACTGTACACTTTGCATGAATTACATAGCATATATAACACAAAGCATGTGAATTATATCTCAATAAAACTATGAGCCTATCGATGGCACACTTTAGTACCAAAACGAATTATTTTCCTTCCAGTGCATTTCAGTTTTGTTGCCCAGAATGTTACATGTCCTCTATCTGCTATAATCGTAGAAAGTCTGTTTCTTCTAAGCTTAAGAAAACATTTACTTTAATTCACTTTCAAGACAGAAGAAAAATTCTCCAAACCCTACTAACCAAAAAGTAACAGTTGAACATTAATTCATTAATGACCTTGACCATGATATACCATGGCAGCATTTGGAGCTACACATTAAAAGGGCCACAGGCTCACAGCACATAGCCAGAATTGATGTTTTTAACAAGTGCTGGGACTCTGTTAAAACAGAAGTTCTATCACCCTATATTGAGCAAATGAATGGAGACAAATTTTTGAATTGGCTTCTTATTCCCCATTTTAATTAAAAACAAAAGGTTATCTTAGATTGCATTACACAAGTCTCAATTACCCCTTCTGGTAAGATTTCTACCAAGACACGTTGACAGATTCTTAGTTCTGGGAAGGCAATCAGTACATTTACCGACATTTTATAAAATAGTGTATTTAGCCGTATGGCTTCCAAACAACTGGTTTAATTATATTGTCAGAAAAGAAATAAAGTACTCTATTTATGTTAAAGAGTACAGTTTTTTTTTGTTTTTTTTTTTATGAGCCCCAGACTTAAAAAGTATGTATGGGTGTTTTTTTTTGTTTGTTTGTTTGTTTGTTTTTGTTTTGTTTTGTTTTGTTTTTGCTGAGTTCAGGAATGAAAAAAACCTACGTGGGAAACTTTTACTGTAAATAATCTTAAATTCATGCCTTCAACAGTTCCAAGGCTATTATAGCCCAAATTATATCCTCAAAAGTAAATGGGAAAAACAAAATAGGTATTATTTCATTAAGAAAACAGATGCAGATGTAGACGTGTGGAAAATTTTTTTTTTTTGCATAAAGTATGTACCATTGTTTTCCCAATGAAATAACATACGTGTATTGATTGATTTGAGATGTAATTATGAGCTCTTGATCCCTCTGCTCTTGATCATTCTACTCTCTGCAGGCAGAAAACACAATGAATGCTCTGACTTTAAATTTAAAATAAGCTGGGGGCAGCTGGGTGGCTCAGCTGGTTGAGTGTCAGACTTCAGCTCATGTCACGATCTCACCATTTGTGAGTTCGAGCCCCGCATCAGGCTCTGTGCTGACAGCTCAGAGCCTGGAGCCTGCTTCAGATTCTGTGTTTCCCTCTCTCTCTCTGCCCCGCACCACCACCCGCCCCCCACCTCTGTCTCTCTTTGTCTCTCAAAAATAAACATTAAAAAAATTTTTTTAATTAAAAAAATAAAATTAAATAAGTAAATAAATAAATAAGTAAAATAAGCTGGAAAGTGTCCTCTAATTCACAGTCTCAAGATCTTCTGGTTTTAGAAAATACTAAGCTTTTGCTTCCCTTTTTCAGAATTCAAGTCACTGATGAACAACTGATTGAGAATGATGGGATTATTAAGGAGCTCCATGGACTATCAGCAGATTCGTCAACAGAAATCTTATAGGCCATAAGGGGATGCAGGATAATATATTTAAAGTGCTCAAAGAAAAAAAAAAAAAACAGACAACCAGGAGTACTATGTCCAGCAAAACTTTCCTTGAAAAACGAAAGAGAAATAAAAACGTTTTCAAATAAACAAAAGCTGAGAGAATTCACCCATCAGACCTGCCTTTAAAGAAACTCTAAAGGTAGTCTTTCAAGATGAAACCAAAGGACCTTACACAGCAACACAAAAGCATATGAACGTATAAAGCTCACTTTAAAGGTAAATAAATAGAAGAATACACAACACTATAATACTATGATGATACTGCGTAAATCACTTTCAATTCTGGTATGGAAGTTAAAAGACAAATGCATAAATAACTATATAAAAATACGTTAATGGATACACAATATAAAAAGATGTAATTTGTGACAACAATAACAAAGTGTGGGGGAAATAAAAAAGTAGAGTTTCTGTATGCCAATGAAGTTATGTTGTTACCAGCTTATAATACACCACTACAGCTGTGTTTTCTATAAGCCGCACGGTAACCACAAAGAAAATACCTAGGGAAGATACACAAAAGATAATGAGTAAGGAATCAAAGCACTTCACTACAAAAAAAATAAATAAATGAATGAAACACAAAGTAAGATAGCAATAGAGTGCCCGGGTGGTTCAGTCAGTTACGTGTCCAACTTTAGCTCAGGTCATGATCTCATGGTTCATGGGTTCAAGCCCCATACCAGGCTCTGTGCGGACAGCTCAGAGCCTGGAGCCGGCTTCCGATTCTGTGTCTCCCTCTCTCTTTCTGACCCTCCCTTGCTCATGCTCTGTCTCTGTCTCTCTGTCTCTCTATCTGCCCCTTCCCTGGTTGCACTCTTTCTCAAAAAGAGGTAAATGTTAAAAAAAAAAATTAAAAAAAAAAAAAAGACTGACAGAAAAAATAATGAAC